AAATATAGCTTCATGACTGTCATAAAAGTCTAGCATCTTCTCTTTAGGAATTTGCTCTCAAATCCTCACAGGAAGAGTGATGCATACATTTCTAATAGCAGCTCAGTTTGCAGTATAAGCAAGTCCTGGGAGTACTTCTCTATTCAATGTCAGAATTGAAAGTTTTCTATGGTGGTTTCTCAAAACCCTTGCTTTTAAAGTGAGTGTTATTTTTTTCCATCTCAGCATCCTTGTGTGTGTCTGTGTATGTATGTATATATATATAAACATATATATACACTTCTATACTTTTAAAACTTTTGTCAATGTATATATACATATGTGTGTGTATATACACTTTTTATACTTTTTTATTTGTTAATGTAGGGTTTTTTTGGTAATTATACATAGAAAGAAATCTAGAGGTGTGGGAGTTTAATGACTAAGGGAAATGAAATACTTATTTGTTAGGCAAGTTCAGTGACAAATGTCACAGAACAGTTAACTCTCTACTCCCATCCTTGACTGTTTCTAGGTGTAGTGGTGGGCCACCCAGTCCTCCCCACAGAGGAATTTTAGGATGGCTATAAGGCAATTACTTCTTTCAAGCAAAGTCAAGCCCCAGACTCTCCTTAACTGAAATCACAAATATCTGACATTTCCAGACCCAGTCCCTATTGTTTTGCTTAAGAGACACAGCTGAGTTCTTCCAATCCATTATACTCAGGATTCCAGTTTACATTCAGACTGAGAAAACCAGAGATAGGAAGAGGTAACAATTCATTCATTTAAATCATAGCCCTGAAAGTAACATTTTCAACAAAGTATTCAGACATCACTTCAAGAAATTATTGAAAAGGCAAAACACTTGGGGTTTTAAGGTTAACAGTACCATCTAAATAGGAGTTGGTACTGAATATGAGAGCTTTTACTTGAAAGGAACTGATGGCTCAGAAATATGATCCGCATGCAGGCTAAGTGACAACTTAAAGAAAGCTGCTATACTTAATTTGAGTGGATTCCATGAATGTGTTGTGGTATTATGAACTTGTTTATAGTAATAACACTAATGCATCTGCTCCATCTCTGTGCAGTTACCTAGACTACGTTGTTTGACATCACCGTTCTGCATTAACCTCCGTCTGCTGGGCTATGTCTGTCATTTCTTTCCCTATAACATAATGTGACAGAGTCTTCATTTACCTAAACTTATCTTGGCAACTTGTACTTCATTAAAAAGAATCCTGAAAGCATCAGTTAAAGCTTTCTTAGCTGGCCATGCATAGCCAGACTTCATAAATCATCCTTTCACTTTCCATTTTGCAGCTTCTGGAAAGGTGATATTATTGAATTCAGATCACAGGAAAAGAGCACTACTAAAATGTTTATTGACCAGCTTTTAGGCACTAAGCTCTGCAGACATTCACCAAAGCTTTTGAATATAAAACTTAAGTCACTGATATGGTTTATACTGTTGCTATAAATGCCTCGTTTAACAGTCACTTTAGCAAGTTGGTATTAACCTGGTGAAGAAAAGAATATTTTTGGCCCTTCGTTCCCCATTCCTTACCGCCTAACCTTCTTAACTATATTTGTGCTAATTTAAGGAGATACTGATATTATCATTTACCTATCACCACCACCTCTAAACAATATATTGGCCAGGTAATAAAAGCCACATACCAAGTCTCCCCATACCAAGTCTCCTTTGTGTTCCTTTCTTAGTACACTTTTCACTCTGTAGAAGTTTGTGCATCAGGTTTCTTCAACTGAGAACCAACAGCTGGAACTTCCTCAGCAACACATTCTAGGTTAAAATGGCTTTTTGCAAAAGGACACCAAGGACAAATCTCTTATCCAATAGGCTTGCATGCATATCTGTGGAAGCATTATCATATTTATGCTTGCAAATTTATGGTCTTTCTTTGAGAGCATTGAAGATTTGCCATCAAAGAATAAGGAAAGGACCTTGAAAGCCAGAAATTGTGTGAGGTTTGTTCTCATAGGGAAAATAATTATGTTAATGTATTTAGTACATTACTCTGGCCAAACAAGAAGTACTTTATTACACCCTTCAACCCCTGCCCTGGAGCTCTCGAAATCAAGTATTTTAGTTGAGTACATGGCAAGTAATTATGGTTTATTTACTTTGGATCATTTAGGTGAAATCCTATTTTCTTCTGTTTGTGTGTCAAGTCATCTTCAATATATCTATAATTTTAATTAACAAAATGAATGGAAATAAGAATTTTATTTTATTTTTTAAAACAAACATTATAATATGATTTTATAGAAAATCCTTAAAATGATAAATTGGAATCCACTTTTATCGAATAATGTAATTTTAAAATCAAAGGACTTTAGAGCTGGAAGTAAACTTATAGAACACCTGACTTTGTCTCATTTTACCTAAACCTAATAGGAAGCAGACTCTTAGTTTTACATGGTTTGCCCAAGCTCATAAAGCAAGAGCATGGCAAAGATGGAACTCAAGATTCTGACCACAATTACAGAGTTTCTAATCCAGCTTATTTTTAGATGGTAAGATATATGTCAATATAGAGAATAATTTTCATGTCTTAAAATGAACCTTTGATAAGGAACATCAACTGTATATCTGTATATTTATAATAGAAAGTTTATTTTCTATTGATGGATTCTGAATTATCACAGCAAAAGAAGTCAGAATTACATTCAGAAAATTACTCTTTCTTCCCTATGCTCTATTGTTAGGCATTTTATTTTTATCATAATGTTAAAGGTATGAATTCTAATGTTGCTTAACATAGTAGAAATAGAAAAAATAGATAAATATAGCAAAAGTCACATCTCTCAGTTGATTTCTATATATGCTTTCTACTATTTGTGAAAACATAGCATTGGGATCCATCAGACAATAGTAAATTTTGAAATAACAACGGAAATTACCTTGCCCAATATCCTGAATTTACAGAAGAGAAAAGAGGTCTAATTAAGTGACTTGCTCAATTATAGTGTTATTTCCACTATAACATACTATCCCTTTAATCCATATAAAGGAGAGATATTCATCATTCTTGTATTAAGCCACCAACTATGAGCAACAATTGTGAAGGGCACTGAGGAGTTCCTCAAGGAAGTCACAATCCAGCTGAGAATATGAACATTTAAATAACAAATAATAATTTGACAATTTTCTAATAGATACAAAATGCAAAGAGGGCACAATAGGAGCAAAGAATTATTCAAAAGATTAAAAGAAAAAGTGAAGAAACAGAAAAGAAGACTGGGAGTTTAAGATTAAAAGAAAAAGTGAAGAAACAGAAAGCAAGACTGGGAGTTTATCAGGCAGAGAAATGGGAAAAGCCTTTTCAGTTAAAAAACACAGCAGCAAAGGCATGGCATGGGAAACCGTGGTAGCATTACAAAATAACTAATGATTCCAAGACATACTTTAGACTGCTGGGTCTAATTCCCAACACCGAATACATAAAACCACTATTTGTTTAGTTTCAACTTCCTACACTGCCTCTCATATTTTAAATAGGTATTAATTTTTTCTTATGTGGTGGACTGGGGAAGGAATTGGGGGTCAGTGATACCTGGGGTCCAATCTCTGCTCCAGTTAATACTTGTATGTAGTTTGCAAATTACATTTGTAGCTCCTCATGTTGCTTAGATTTAAAGTTGAACTAAATAGTACTTAACCCCTAGGGTTACTTGAGCCTAGTTTTTAGTACAGTGCCTACCTAAGAATAGGTTCTTAAAACCCGGTATTTGCAAACATTTGCTTTAATGACATTTTAATATACAATTAGGGATATGCTATTTTGAATATAGCATACAGCCACTTACTAGAAAATCCACCTACTCCTAAAAGCAACATTCAAGGATATAGAATGAAAAGAATGTCCAGATGCATGAGAGAATCTCTATGTCTGTGCCCTGCAGAATAACTATTATACAATTAATTAATATTAGCAAACACTTTGTATATTTCAGATAAAATCTCAATGTAAGCTCTAAGTAAAATTTTATTTCATCTAATGGTACAATCAAAACATTATTCTTAGTGTTTCCAATTATAGTTGTCTATAGCTATATTACTAAAGCTATAAAATGAACTCTTTCCCATAGCCATTGTAGCCCAAAACAGATATGCATAAGGCGAGTTTCCCTGAATGGAGCTATGTACAAAATCTAAAATTAATATTTTAGATATTAAAATTTGTCTGGACCCAAGGTGCAGACAAATTCACAGAGAAATACGCTCACATTTCCTTACAAGCATTCCTGAATTCTTAACAGTAACCTCAAGATATATTTTAGTACACTCAGTGAAAATCAAAGTCCTATCAATTCTGAGGCAAAGTCTGTTATAATCAAAAGGTAACAAATACTAGAGAATGTTCATTTTCTTACCACCTTTTCTACAGGAAGATGGTCCTCACACTGCCTTTGAGACCAGACAAAATTTACCATATGGAATGACTCAAATAACATTTATTATATACAGTGTTCCCATATTCTCATGCTCATTCAATAGAAATGAACAAATCTACATTCCTGCTTTGCTAAGATTACAATAGTTGGAAAAACCAACAAAATGGCCTTCCCATTTATCTGGTTTCTGAACCTTTACACAAAGGGAACATATATTAATTTATCCCTTAAATTAGTATTCTCTTCCTGAGTCAAAAGGCCCTTTATAATAGACAATGGATTTTACTTAAAATAAAAATGGAATTATTTCAATAAATAAAAATGTTATTTCTTCATATACTCAGGTTATCAGGAAGGTTTGTAGCTGAGAGAAAGAAGAATATTTCTCTAGAATTAAAAGCAATATGCTGATAATTCACCTTTTGCTAATTCATTTTGACTTCTTAAACAGAGTTTTAAGAGATTTTGATTTTTCTAGAGTAAATGACCAGTGGTCTCTCTGTCTCTATTAAAGGACATGCTTTCTATGAAGTCAGAAGGAACTGGTATTAGGCATTTTGCCTAGAGACTTGGAGTCCATCCAGTCTGCAAATAGTTACCAAAAATCTGTTGAGCTTTTCTTCCTGCAGACACAGTTAGGGAAGCTTCCCAGCTCCTCTCGCAGTCACGTGTGGCTGAATGGCTGCATTTGGGAAATGGGATGTAAATAGAAAAGATGTCACTACTTCCAGCCCTGGGAGACAGACTCTTTCTATGTGTGGTCCTCATTCTTTCTCCCAATCCAACACCTGGATGAAGACTCTGGGGTACGGAAGAGCCCAAATGGGTCTCCAAATGATTATGTAGAACAGTTCACTTGAGAACACAGACCTACACAGGTGCATGCATACAAACACACACCAGTGCTGCCAACACAACAACCCAAGTATTCTATTTCTGTTTATGTCACTGAAACACTTGGGTTATTTCTATAGAAGACCTTACTCTTGCTTACAATTAGTTCTATTCTTCTTTTTCTGGGTGCATGCAGAAAATGTTCTTTCCCTCTTCCTTGAAGTTAGTTGTGCTCATGTGAATTTCTTTGGCCAATGACATGAGAGCAGAAAAGACAACCCACAGAATGGGAGAAAAAATGCAAATGATGCAACAGACAAGGGATTAATCTCCAAAATTTACAAACAGCTCATGTGACTCAATATTAAAAAAAAAAACAACCCAATCAGAAAATGGGGAGAAAACCTAAATAGACATTGCTCCAAAGAAGACATACAGATGGCCAAGAGGCACAAGAAAACATGTTCAACCTCGCTAATTATTAGAGAAATGCAAATCAAAGCTACAATGAGGCATCACCTCACACCAGTCAGAATGGTCATCATCAAAAAGTCTATAAACAATAAATGCTGGAGAAGGTATGGAGAAAAGAGAACCCTCCTAAACTGCTGGTGGGAAAATAAATGGGTACAGCCACTATGGAGAACAGACTGCATGTTCCTTAAGAAACTAAAAATAGAGCCACCATATCATCCAGCAGTCCTACTCCTGGGCATATATCCAGAGAAAAACATGATTTGAAAGGATACATGCAACCCAGTTTTCATTGCAGTGCTATTTACAATAGCTAAGACATGGAAGAAACCTAAACATCCATCGAAAGATGAATGAGTAAAGAAGATGTGGTACATATATACAATGAAATATTACACAGCCATTAAAAAGAATGAAATAATGCTATTTGCAGCAACATGGATGGACCTGCAGATTATCATACTAAGTGAAGTAAGTCAAACAGAGAAAGACAAATACATTTGATATTGCTTATATGCGGAATCTAAAAAAAAAATGATACAGGACTCAAACATTTAGAGAAGAGCTAACACCGATATTCCTCAAACTCTTCTAAAAATTGCATAGGGAGGAACACTCCCACATTTGCTCTATGAAGCCACAATCACCCTGATACCAAAACCAGAAAAAGATACCACAAAAAAAGAAAATTATAGACCAATATCACTGATGAACATAGATGCAAAAATCCTGAACAAAATACTAGCAAACAGATTCCAACAACATATTAAAAGGATCATATACCATGATCAAGTGGGGCTTATCCCAGGAATGCAAGGATTCTTCAATATATGCAAATAAATCAATGTGATATACCACATTGACAAATTAAGGAATAAAACCATATGATCATCTCAATAGATGCAGAAAAAGATTTTGACAAAATTCAACACTGATTTATGATAAAAAACTCTCCAGAAAATGGGCATAGAAGGAACCTACTTCAACATAATAAAGGCCACATATGACAAACCCACAGCAAACATCATATTCAATGTTGAAAAAATGAAAGCATTTCCTCTAAGATCAGGAACAAGACAAGGATGTCCACTCTCGCCACTCTTATTCAACATAGTTTTGGAAATCCTAACCATGGCAACTGGAGAAGAAAAAGAAATAAAAGTAATACAAATTGGAAAAGAAGAAGCAAAACTGTCACTGTTTGCAGATGACATGATAGAATACATAGAAAATCCTAAAGATGCCACCAGAAAACTACTAGAACTAATCAATGAATTTGGTAAGGTTGCAGGATACAAAATTAATGCACAGAGATCTCTGGCTTTCCTATACACTGACAATGAAAAAACACAAAGAGAAATTAAGGAAACACTCCCATTTACCACTGCAACAAAAAGAATAAAATACCTATGAATAAACCTACATAAGGAGGCGAAAGACTTGTACTTGGAAATCTATAAAACACTGATGAAAGAAATCAAAGATGACATAAACAGGTGGAGAAATATATCATGTTCTTGGATTGGAAAAATCAATATTGTGAAAATGACTATACTACCCAAAGCAATCTACAGATTCAATGCAATCCCTATCCAAGTACCAATGGCATTCTTCACAGAATTAGAACAAAAACTTTTACAATTTGTATGGAAACACAAAAGACCCCAAATAGCCAAAGCAATCTTGAGAAAGAAAATGGAGCTGGAGGATTCAGGCTTCCCATATTCAAACTATACTACAAAGTTACAGTAATCAAGACAGTACGGTACTGGCACAAAAACAGAAATATAGATCAATGGAACAGGATAGAAAGCCCAGAGATAAACCCACGCACATATGGTCACCTTATCTTTGATAAAGGAGGCAAGAATATACAATGGAGAAAAGACAGCCTCTTCAATAAGTGGTGCTGGGAAAACTGGACAGCAACAGGTAAAAGAATGAAATTAGAACACTACCTAACACCATACACAAAACTAAACTCCAAATGGATTAAAGACCTAAATGTAAGGCCAGACACTATAAAACTCTTAGAGGAAAACTTAGGAAAAACACTCTGACATAAATCACAGCAAGATCCTTTTTGACCCAACTCTTAGAGAAATGAAAATAAAAACAAAAATTAAAAAATGGGACCTAATGAAACTTAAAAGCTTTTTTTACAGCAAAGGAAACCATAAACAAGATGAAAAGACAACCCACAGAATGGGAGAAAATATTTGTAAATGAAATAATGGACAAAGGATTAATCTCCATAATATACAAACACCTCATGGATCTCAATATCAAAAAAACAAACAACCCAATTAAGAAATGGGTATAAGATTTAAATAGACATTTCTCCAAAGAAGACATACAAATGGCCAAGAGGCACATGAAAAGATGCTCAACATCACTAATTATTAGAGAAATGCAAATAAAAACTACAATGAGTTTTCCCCTCACCCCAACCAGAATGGCTATTATCAAAAATTCTAGAAACAATAAATGCTGTAGAGGGTGTGGTGAAAAGGTAAACCTCCTGCACTGTTGGTGGGAATGTAAATTGATAGAATCACTATGGAGAACAATATGGAGGTTCCATAAAATACTAAAAATAGAACTACCATATGATCCAGCAATCCCACTACTGGACATATACCCTCAGAAAACCATAATTCAAAAAGAGTAATGTACCACAATGTTCATTGCAACACTATTCACAATAGCCAGGACATGGAAGCAGCCTAAGTGTCCATCGACAAATGAATGGATAAAGAAGATGTGGCACATATATACATGGAATATTACTCAGCCATAAAAAGAAACAAAATTGAGTTATTTGTGGCTAGGTGGATAGACCTAGAATCTGTCATATAGAGCGAAGTAAGTCAGAAAGAGAAAAACAAATACTGTATGCTAATGCATATGTATGAAATCTAAAAAAAAAAAAAAAAAGGTACTGATGAACCTAGTGTCAGGGCAGGAATAAAGACGCAGACATAAAGTATGGACTTGACGACATGGTGAGGCGGAGCAGGGGGAAGCTGGAGGGAAGTGAGAGAAACATCGACATGTATACACTACCACATGGGAAATAGATAGCTAGTGGGAAGCAGCAGCATAGCACAGGGGCATCAGCTCAGTGCTTTGTGATGACTGAGAGGGGTGGGATAGAAAGGGTGGGAGGGAGGCTCAAGAAGGAGGGGATATGGCGATATATGTATACATATGGCTGATTCACTTTGTTGTACAACAGAAACTAATATAGCAATGTGAAGCAATTATACCCCAATAAAAATGTATAAAAAAGTAAAATAAAATAAAGGTAAAATTGATAACCAACAAGCATCTACTATATAACACAGGGAACTCTGATCAACACTCTGTAATAACCTAAATGGGAAAAGAATTCGGAAAACAATAGATACATGTATATGTATAACTGAGTCACTCTTCTGTATACCTGAAACTAGCACAAAACTTTTAATCAACTATATTCCAATATAAAATAAAAATTAAAAAAATAAAAAGGAAAGGATGTGGGTCACTTATGCATAATGCAGTTAGTTGCTGGTGCAAGAGTCTCCAGATAAATAAATCAATATTCCTTTAAGCCTCTGAGATTTGTAGGTTGCATGTTACTTCAGAATAACTACTGCATCTGATTGTTGACGTTTGTTTCAGGAGGTAGCCTGTCCTGATAAGTACAAGGTCCAAGCCTAACATCTGTGATTCTGATTTTCCATCAGATAAATATCTAAATATATCTTGCAAAAGTACCTACTCTGAGAAAGCTTCTATTCAGAAACTGAAATTTAGAATCTCTTAAGTAAATAAGACTCTTCTTTAGTAATAACCTTAAAAATCTAAAATAATAGTACTAGAAATATTCTAATTGATGAAAATGTATAGAAAATGAAGCTTTACTTTATCTAAGTTTCTCTCTCACTATGAACTTGCCTCGAATTCATGGGAATTTCATGCATGTTACATGGTTAGGTAGTATCTAAGGACCACCTTCAAAATACCCAAAGGGTACCTTGCACATAGATTCCAATGTATGGCCCTTCACCATGCTGTCTCTTGCCTCCTTTTTAAGAACCTTCTTTCTCTTTACCATGGAAGCTCATTCTCAAACCTGTTGCTCCTTAATCAGACCACATTCCCCATTCCACTCATATTGCCAACAGCCCATAATGGAAGCTCACCAGGCATGTAGACCCACACTGTTCTCATCCCGACACTGCTCAGTTCCGCTTCTCTGATGTCTCATGGTCCCATCATCGCCTGCATCAGACATTTCCAGAAGCAGTATAAGCAGAGTAGTCTAACAGTAGGCTCTGACATCACACATGACTTGACATTTCAGTTCTGCCATTGATCAAATATGTAACCTTGAAAAAACTCTTAACCATTGTAATTAACTTCCTTATTTGTAGAACTCTGACTCATTTTTCATACACACAACTGATTTGTCGATATCTTCATCATCTAATTACAGTAATAGCAACCAAATTGGTCATCCTTTTCCCAGTTTAATTCTATACTGTATACTATATCTAGTCCCATGTCCAGATTATCACAAAATAAAATTTTGTTACATTAAAATGTCTTGTACTTCCTTACTTTAAGTCCTCCATTTCAAACCTTCAGCACAATATACCAAATCTTTTCTTTTTTAAACTTTTTCTGCCTTGGTCTCTCCTTGTCTTTTCAGAGACTCTTCCAGCAGTGTCAGCAATAGCAATAGCCAAACTTGAGTCAAATAAGCTGTGTAGGGACTTCCCTGGTGGTGCAGTGGTTAAGAATCCGCCTGCCAATGCAGGGGACACAGGTTCGAGCCCTGGTCCGGGAAGATCCCACATGCTGCGGAGCAACTAAGCCCGTGTGCCACAACTACTGAGACTGCGCTCTAGAGCCCGAGAGCCTAGAGCCCGTGCTCCACAACAAGAGAAGCCACCGCAATGAGTAGCCACTGCTTGCCACAACTAGAGAAAGCCTGTGCACAGCTCAAAGACCCAATGCAGTCAAAAATAAATAAATAAAATAAATAAATTAAAAAAAAATAACCTGTGTAGAACTTCCAAAAGGAACAGTGTTCTATACCACCTTGCTTTTGCACATGTAATTCACCCTGTCTAGACTGCAACTGTCTTTTGTTTTCTATTTTCATCAATCCTCTTTGATTTTTCTGACTGAGCTCTGAGGACATGACTTCCCTGGTTATCCTACTTGAGTTAGATTCTCATCTCTTACGTGTACCTACAATGCCTTGGGCATCCCTCTAATAGCAAATGTCACAATGATAGGATTTATTGGTGTGCTTATCTCTCTTCTCCTCTTTGCTGGAAACATCCTTTACAGCATTAATTATGTTCCTTTTATTTTTGTCTCTTCAGGACCTAGACTATTATCTGTTACATACTGTCTGTTTTAGATTGCCAAGACTGCCTTAACAGAGTACCACAAACTGAGTGGCTTAAACAACAGAAATTTATTGTCACAGTTCTGGAGGCTGGAATTCAGAAATTAAGGTGATAGAAGAGTTGGTTCCTTCTGAGGGCCATGAGGGAAAGATCTGTTCCAGGCCCCTCTCTTTGGCTTAAAAATGCTCATCTTCGTGTGCACATGGCATTCTCCCTATATGCATGTCTGTCTTCAAATTTCCAGTTTATATAAGGACACCAATCATAGATGATTAGGACTCATTCTAATACCTCATTTTACTTAATTACCTCTATAAATATCCTGTCTCCAAAAAAGATCATATTCTGAGGTACCAGGGTTTAGGACTTCAACATATGAATTTTTAGGAGACAGAATTAAACCCATAACAGTGAAAAATACACATTGAATTAGTTCATGAATGAAAGTTGGGAGGTATTACTAAATTTGCTGTAAATCATTACTTAAGTCAGGTATGTATTATTTAGAGTGTTCCGTATCACAAACAGCAAAAGAACTCTCTGATACCAGAATATAACATCCTGGGACAGAAGAAAAAAAATTATCAGGTGTCTTTTGGCCTGGACGGGACCTCTTATCCTGCACCATTTCAAAGTTTATGAAGCCATTTATTTCTCCGTCACCTGGGGCTCCTCTGCTCTGTTAATTTTCATCCTGTTCTTCATTTATTCAACTTTTTAGTCTTTAGAACTACACCAGATTCTGAATATAGCAGAGGGAAGAAAGTACAATACTCTGTCCACTCAGCAAACCCATCTCTATGGAATAATGGGATTCATATAAGAAAATAACACACAAATTATGGTTTTACATAGGCTGGCAAAACCCATAAAGCCTCTGGGAATCAAGATATATTGAAAAATCCATTCTGCCAGCTACATAAAAACACTTAAAAGCATCAAGATTCTTTGTGCCAAGTAGAGAAATTGCAAGGAAAGGTGAAAGGATATTACTCTGTACTAAGGTGTTTGCCTTTAACAGGTTTTCCTTTATTTTTATTAAATGTCTATAGTTCTGGCACAGTGATTTCACTTTGTATAAAAGCCTAATGTGTCATAGCATAATTTTTTTAAAAAATCATTACTGGATTTTTAGACAGGATCCAATTTTGCTACATGTTTCCCTTCTCATCTAGTGGTCACAAGTAACTAAAAATAGATCATCGTGTTAAAAATGTATATAAATAAGATTGGTACCTAGAGTTGCATGCAGTATGTGATGGTTCTTCAGGAATTCAAAACACATATTTGAGTGGTATAATAATCACTCATTTCCTCTTATTTAGATTAGGGGGGAAATAGTAACGCTTGTGGTATTATGCACATTACAACACTACCGTTTCATTGCCAAAAATGAAAGTGGCATCGTGGATCTAGTTATTTAACATATTGCACATATATAATACATAAGCATATGGTTTTAGGTATGAATTGATGGACATACGCACAAACACACACATAGCTTTAATGTGTTAGAGGTATGAAAAAATCACCTTAGACTCAATTTTAGGAGTATCCCTTAGGAGAGTAAATCACCCTAAGTGTTCAGGTTGGAATCCCAGGGAGGCATGAAAAACACTAACTCTCAGGTGAAGAGTTAAGGAAGCTAGACCAGCCCCTATTTCATGGCCCTAAATATCCTCTGTGCTCTGCTTATTTATCCCTCCGTCCTACTCCCAACCCCTGACAACCAAATGATTTCTTTACTGTCTCCTTAGTTTTGTCATTCCAGAATGTCATAGTGTTGGAATCATACAATATGTAGCCTTCTCAATTGGCTGCCTTCACTTAGTAATAGGCATTTGTTTCCTCAATTATCTTTCTTTTTTTCTTTCTTCCTCCCTTTCTTTTCTTTCGTTCTTTCTTTCTTTCTTTCTTCTTTCTCTCTCTCTCTTTCTTTAATTTTTTTATTCAATTTTTAAAGGTTACTTTCCACTTACAGTTATTACAAACTATTGGCTCTATTCCCCATGTTATGTGTTATACAATATATCCTTGAGCCTATCTTACACCCAATAGTGTGTGCCTCCTGCTTCCCCACCCCTATATTGCCCCTCCCCTCTCTCCCACTGGTAACCACTGTTTGTTCTCGACATCGGCAAGTCTGCTTCATTTTTGTTATACTCACTATTTTGTTCTATTTTTTAGATTCCACAGATAAGTGATATCATACAGAATTTGTCTTTCTCTGTCTGACTTATTTCACTTACCATTAATGTCCTCCAAGTCTATTTATGTTGCCACAAATGGCAAAAATTTATCCTTTTTTATGGCTAAGTAGTATTACATTGTGTGTGTGTGTATATATATATATATATATATATATATATATATATATATATATATATACCACCTCCTCTTTATCCATTCATCTGTTAATGGGCTCAGGGTGCTTCCATATTGTAAATAATGCTGCTATGAACATCGGGGTGCATGTATCTTTTTGAATTAGTGTTTTTGTTTTTCTCAGATATATACCCAGGAGTCAAATTGCTAGATCATATGGTAGTTCTATTTTTAGTTTCCTGAGAAAATTTTATACCGTTTTCCACAGTGGCTGCACCAATTTACATTCCCACCAACAATGTAAGAGGGTTCCTTTTTCTCCACATCCTTGCCAGCATTTGTTAGTTGTGTTCTTTTTGATGATAGCCATTCTGACAGGAGTGAGGTGATACCTCAATGTGGTTTTGATTTGCATTTCCTTGATGATTAACAATTTTGAGCATCTTTTCATGTGCCTGTTGGCCATCTGCATTTCCTCTTTGGAAAAATGTGTATTCAGTTATTCTGCGCATTTTTTAATCAGATTGTTTGTTTTTTTGAAGTTGAGTTGTATGAGCTATTTACATATATTGGATATTCCCTTATTGGTCACATCATTTGCAAATATTTTCTCCCATTCTATATGTTGTCTTCTCTTTTTGTCAATGGTTTTCTTTGCTGTGCAAAAGCTTTTAAGTTTAATTAGGTCTCATTTGTTTATTTTTGCTTCTTTTTCTTTACTTTAGGAGACAGATCAAAAAATAATTGCTGTGATATATGTCGAAGAGTGTTCTGCCTGTTTTCCTCTAGGAGTTTTATAGTATCTTCTATCTTTCATGCCTTTATGGCTCATTTATTTTTGGCACTGAACAATATTCCATTGTGTGGATGTACCATGGTTGATTTATCCATTTATCTACTGAAGGACATCTAAGTTGCTTCTGAGTTTTGGCAATTATGAATATAGCTGCTATAAACATGTGTGTGCATGCTTTTGTGTGGACATACGGTTTTAACATTTTTGGGTAAATACCCAGGAGCATGACTGTTAGATGATATGGTATGCTTAGTTTTGTAGAAAAATGCCAAGCTGTCTTCCAAAGTGTCTGCACCATTTTGTACTCCTGCCAGCAACGAGTGCGAGTTCCTGTTGTTACACATCCTCATCAGCAGTTGGTGTTGTCAGTGTTCTGGATTTTGTCCATTCTAACAGGTGTACAGTGGTATGTAACTATTGTTTTAATTTGCATTTCCCTGATAATATACGACATGGAGCATCTTTTCATATGCTTGTTTACTTTCTGTATACCTTCTTTGGTGTGGTGTCTGTTAAGGTCTTTAACCCATTTTTTTATCAGGTTGTTTGTCTTCTTATTGTTGAGTTTGGGGAGTTCTTTGTTGTAAATATTGAATAGCAGTCATTTATCAGATGTGTCTTTTACAAATATTTTCTCCCAATCTGTGGCTTGTCCTTTCATTCTCTTGACAGTGTCTTTTGCAGAGCAGAATTTTTTTATTTTAATGAAGTCCAGCTTCTCAAGTCTTTCTTTCATGGAT